AAGTAATACATTATTAGTAAAGACCGAGTATGAAATATGTGGAAGAGTTTTACTATATCATATACCTACCATTTTTTTTTCCGATATGAATAGCATGATTTCGCTCATATATATATATGTTTTGAGTTGGGGATTCGTATCTTTGCTGTCACATATACATCATTTTTTCGCCGATCATGCTAGCAGGTAATTCACATGTTTTTCCCTTATCAAAAATTTCATTTTGGATCGCCAGGTCCGAGATATACAATTTTACAATGGACAATTCTGATATTTATGCATGCTGAAGAAATTAGTAAAGAAACGATTCACAAAGCCATTCTTCACTATTTTGGGAAAGCACTCGAGGAATGGTTCAATCACTACAAAAAACAATTCTAAACATTCGGCTCAAGGGTTAGTCAATAATGAGGTTAGAATTCAACTTCCATCGGTTAGCCAGAGCTTGCTTCGAAAAACGAAAGAGCATACCCAAAAGATTTATGATTTATTTATGAGATTGGGGTCAATAAGATCAAGTGAATTCAGAGCTTTACAGCAATAACCTTATCAGAATCCGTGTACTCCCTCCATAACAACTCTCAAGATACTGGGCACGAATCAGGGAGTGTACGAAGCAGCAGCAAGAAGACAAGGTTGGATAGTTTATTGAACAGACTAAGGTAAGAGATATATTTCCCATTCACTCTTTTATTTACTATGCTAACCTGCCCCTATTACTAATTACCAATACGATTCTATCTTAATGACTACATTTTTCATGCAACGATAATACTAACATTCTTATGACTACATTTTTCATGCAGCGATAATACTGATTATTAATCTAACTATGCATAATGGATAACACTAATAATGAAAGTACTACTATGTGCTCGACATTTTAATTATTGTATGCTGAGTTGTCTTTTGTATCGCTGGTTATTATTATTTTTGGCAAAAGTGATCGGTGTAACAATTCGTCATGCATATATGATTTTTATTCACATGAGAAAAAATATCTTGGATTGTTATATCTCCTAATATACCCGCAATAGGTTTATCATATATTTCACTCGCAAATATGGCGAATATACAAAACTTATCTAATAACCCAATTCACACAAAAAATGAATTGCAATATTCATTAGTATATAGTTATTAAATCAAATAGGTCTAAATCCCTAAATACGATATAAATCACATAATCTCTAAAA